GCCCCACAGTGACCCTGGATTTTGCGCACCAGGTCAAGCAGTTCGGAGTGGAGGATCTAACTTTACTTTTCCTGAGAAGGTGATCTGGAAGGATTAGCTCACGTCCCTAATCAGTATAAATTCATTTGACATTTGCGTGCGAATTAAAATAAACAAACAACAGCATAACTGAATATCTCCGCCTAACTGTTACAGTTGTACAGCTGTGAATGCTGGACAATCATTATATAGATACAGCGAAAATGAAATAGATGCAATGGAAGTGTGGGTTTGTTTAGAAGGTTGTTTAAAATTTATTGGAAAGAAACGAAATCATATAACGTAGTAGACTACTTCAAAAAACCACACAAAGACTTTAGCAATTTCTGGGACACTTGAAAGTCCATAAAAACCTTGCTCTCATCAATGAAATTTAAAGCAAATGAGGCAGAGATGCACTCAAAATAAAGGAAAGATCAGGAGAATACATGCATAGTTGTTCTTCAGAGCATGCGAGTAAAGAAATGAATCATAAACAATGATCATCGATATCTGTCCAAGATCTGTTACTTAATGACGATCACCCCCTGGGATGCCATCTCCCTCTCAGGGGGCTCTGTTTAGAGGCTTCGATGTTCGCCTCTCATTCAACAGATCCCAGGTTCGAAAAGTGAAGGAACATTTTCTTCTCTAAAAAAAGTGAAGGAACATTTTCTTCTCTAAAATGTTCTCCTTTCACCCCCGTTACTGCTCTCTAAACATGTTCTGTCATCAGCTCTTATCTCCACTTTCTGTCAACTTCCCCCTTCTTCCAGTTCCCCCCTTTTGCTCCCCTCTGGGCTCCTGGGCCTTTCTGCAGCCTCTCTTTTGCTATTCCCTGGCTCCTTCATACTACTGTCTTTCAGCCACTCTCCTGATCTTAGGGAAGGTAACATTTAACAGTACACCTAATGTCACCTCGCCTTCTGGGATAAGGGATGAAAATATCTCGAAGGTCCAGTGTGCAAGCTGCGCACGTTTATTAGGTAAATAGCGGAGTAAAACGTGACCAATCAATCAATCGACCACTGTCAGGCTGCGATGCAACGAGTCGATTTCGAAATCTTACGAAGCAATGCCTGTTCGCACTGACCGCAAATTCGGAGAGGCGCATGACAGTTGACATTGCGCGTGGTATATCGGAACAGAAAATGGACGATTGTCAGGTTAGCGCTTCACACCAAACAAGGACCCCGTGTCTCGCTTGGCCGGCTGTACCCCCTTAGAGCCCCCCGCTACTGACTCTCCCCATCTTCCAAACCGCCCTCCTCCCTCCTCTCTTGCCCCTTCCTCAATCTCTATCTATCTATCTTTCAATCTATCTATCTCTGCCTCTCGCTCTCACCCCCACCTATCTATATTCTATCTATGTATCTCTGCCTCTCGCTCTCATCCTCACCTATCTCTCTCTCTCTTCGTCTCTCTTTCTCTCTCTCTTTCTATCTCTCTCTCTCTCTCTCTCTCT